CTTTCAAACTGAAACCTTACACGGCGAGATGAAATCCCGGTATAATCTACTACGTGTTTAGCACTGAAGCGATTGATATTTAATTTGAATCAGGCTGCCAAAGAAAGGATGGCAGAGGGAGAGGAAGGGGGTATCGGGAGTTGTATTGAAGACCTTGTGGGCCATGGCATGTTGATGAGGGCGACCAAGTTCCGAAGACAACCATCGTCTCTAGGCCCCGAGCGTCGTCGTCATTGGACGTTAATTACCGCACAAAAGAAAGGGGAGAAAGATGAAGCGATGGGTGGGGTGTGCGGCGTGGTGGTGGATAGGCAAAGCATGTGCAGCTTTGTGGTGCGGAGGAGGCGGTGTGGGACGGGAGCTCGTGCAACCGTGTGGTGCGGAGAAGGCGGTGGTGGACTGGCGGCACCCGTGCAACCATATGACGCGGAGGAGCAGGTGATAGGATGTGTGTCAATGCAACCGTGTGGTGCAGAGGAGGCGATGATGGCTTGAGCATACTGCCATGAGAGAAGGGGAGAAAGATGGAGAGATAGGTGGGGCATGCGGCGTGGTGGTGGACTGACATCATCCATGCAACCATGTGACACGGAGGAGGAGGTGATGGGCCAAACTGACGATGACCGTGCCGCTATGCGATGGTACATCTCTTTGATAAGCGTGGATATAGTTGGCCGCATCATTAATTTTCCTCATACCAAATGTACATAAGGGACATGTAACCTTTTTTCTCGCGGAATAGTAGTCCCTCTGATCTAAAATAAATGTTGTGCTTTTAGTTCAGGAAGTAAGTGACACATAATACATCAAGTGTTGGACACACGTAGTTGGATGCTTGATCCAAAAAGTAAACAATACCTACTGTTAGATGGTTAGGAGGACATTATTATCCCATGCCAACAGAGTTCAAGTCCCACACTTGACATTGGTGCTCGCATTTCCCTGTGTGTTCAGTGAGAGAAAACATTCCCATCAACTACGAAGGTGTTGTGGTGCCTTGGTCAATCTCAAAGTGATGTGAGGGTTCAGTCTCAGAGATGCTCACATGAATAGGATGTGCGTGTGTGCATTCACAGAGGTGAGTGTATGCTCGTATATGTGAGCGAGTTTGATTGTGTTGTGCTTAAGAAAGAATAATACCTACTTACCTAATAAGAGAGACCGTGGTTCTCCTAAAAAAAGAAGAGACGTGGTCACTTGACCCTACGAGCCCCGGAGCGCTCACAACACTTACATTCATGGGCGCTTAGATATTGTAGTGATGCTCACGACGCTTGAACAAGCCCTCAATGACGACACGTCCAAAACCATCTACGCGTGATGTGACCATGTGGGATGTTCAAGCAAGGGTCATGCGCGTGGGGGTCATGTCAAGTGAGGGGTGTTTTTTTCTTGAGGGACGGGGCCATGGGAGAGCTACGTCGGCGCTAATTCAATTAGCCGCTGAGAGTTGCTCAGATGTCTAAATAATCTAAAAATTAAATCAGACCTTACACATAAAATTATCTATGATAAAAAAAGAAGTTTTGAATCTTTTTATTATTTATTTTGTTTTTTTCTTAGTACAGATGCAACGAGTCTGGGCTCAGAAATGGATATTCGGATATATAGGTAGATATACCGTCCAACGGTTGAGGTCAGGCACTCTCTTCCCCACCGGGACTGGCCGCCTCCATGCTCCTCCGGCGACAGGCCGACAGCCCACCCAAGCTCAACCCCCACGCGGCGCGGACGTCGACCTCGCCTGTCACGGCCTCCTCCATACGGCTCTGCTTTTCAGTTCTCATGGGAGGACTCCCGCGCGGTCGCCTTCCACCTCCGTTGGCGCGACGCCCCGCCGCCGACCTCGGGCCGGCGACGGTGCGTTATTCGCTCTCTTCCTCCCCGATGGAACGCTGGTGGCTGCCTCTTCATCCCCTTCTCCGAACCGACTGCTACACTTGCCTTTCTTCTTCGCACGGTGCTTTTCTTCTCACGCACATGTCCTGTTTGCTGAAATGCCTTCTTACATGGTGACACTCCTGATGGATCGGATTGGTGGTTCTGCGGCAAGCCTAGAACAACCTCCAATTGGTTGATGGATTATCCAATGCCAGAATTAGCAAAGCTAGGCTCTTCAAGACTTCAAGTATGGGCATGTTTAGATGACACTGACCAAGTATACTCTGTGGTTCCATTAATTCCTTCCTCTAGCCAATTCCTGCGGCATGCATGCTTGATTTCTGAAGAGCTTCCAATCGGTTTTGCCCGAACTGTTTACGCTCTGACATAGAGCTTATTACAATCCTCAGACATCAGCTTATTGCATATGGTACAACTCTGCATCCCGGAATCTACTTGTACTCTACATTCTGCCACCTTATAACTTGTGTATACTGAATTGATGGGCCTCTCTTTCACCAAGCATATCAAAGTTGAGACCTATTTTTCCATCTGCTGCGGAATGCATATAGCAATGCATATATATTTCCTATTTACATAGCCATCCTTCAATTATATGCTGACTTTTTTGCAGGCTAGTGGTACTTTTGAAGCATTTTACTTGTAATCTGGGGCTTTATTCCTACAAAAAAAAAAAGAGGACGATCCCCAAGCTCAAGCCAAAGAGGAATTTCACTTGGTCACTAGACTCACTACAAATGGAGTGAGCACTATCGTAAACTCTCTTAATTAGTTGATGTTTTTTGGTTCAATCTCGATTACACATATTGCTGCTCTTCTTGTCTTGTCTCAACAGTTACATTAGTCGAACAAGTTATTCATTTTTTAATGGTTCTTTCAAATATTATTCAGTTTGTATATTTGATCTGCGCTATAACTTCTCTTTGAAGGGAGGATATTAATTGATTTCACATCATTTTCGCATGTTGCAATTCTATTGATTAACACCCAGCTTAGTTAGCCTTGGATCCACTGGTCAAGTCTGACATGCAAATCTTGTGGAAAGACTTGACTGGAATGTCATGCATATTCATCCTGATTAAGAATTGGTACGTAGTATAATCCATATGTGCAACTTTGGAACTTGTCAGAATGTGCAACCCCATCATATCATGTTCACAGCACGAGAGAACACAAGAGGCAGCTGTGAGTTTTCTTTTACCACCTAATGAATGATATGACGTTTCATATTAGTGTATGCTTAACTGAACATCTGAAATTTTATCGCACTATCACATTTAACCCCTCGTAGTTGTAATAAGCTCAAAGAATCCTCCTCCGGCCTGGTCCATGCATTTAATTATTTCTCCCTTCAATTCGTGTCCCGTACTGCTCCTACTGTGTAGGCACATGCTGCATGCCCGGACTCACTGCGCAGTGTGAACGGCATAGACTCTCATCCACTCCTTTCCTCATGCCTGCCCGGACTCACTGCGCAGTGTGAACGGCAGAGACTGCTTTCCTCCTGCCTTCCTAGCTCCCTACCTTGGATTCTTCTCACTTGGAACATTTGATTGAGTACCGGCTCTAAAAGGATTTGATTAATTTGCGGTTAAACCTATGGTGTTGTTCATCTACCTGCACTTACACCCCCTCTGTGAAGTATGATTATATTTTATTTTGTCTCAGTTTTCTCATGCAAATCTTCCTCTAAACATATTTTCTCGAATGGCACGAATAATTCCTGATAATAGAAAATAAATAAAAAATCGGCTGTATGACCATCATCTGTCCTATATAGACACAGAAAGTGTAGTTAATGTGATGGACCAGAACATTGATGCACAGTGTGTAACTGTGTGTATCATATGGTACTAGTACTACATAGGACCCATCCATGGTCTGAGAGGGTGTTTGGATCACTAGAGACTAGAGACTAGAGACTAGTAGTAGTCACCTTTAGTCAGTAAACCTCCAAACACCCCTGACTAGTGGGTGACTAAAACTAGTTTAGTCCCTAGTCACCCCACCCCCAACTTTTACTGACTAGAGACTAATAGTAGTCACCTTTAGTCAGTAAACCTCCAAACACCCCTGACTTTTACTGACTAAAGTCCCCCTCTCTCTCCTCTAATTGGTGTTGCACAAGGGACATTTAATACTGAGCCATTTAATGCTGACTAGTAGTAGTCACCTTCCAAACAGGGCCTGACTAAAAATTTCTAGTCTGACTACTACTAGTCACATGACTAGAGAGTATCCAAACACCCTCTGATTAATGTTGGCTGAGGGTGGAGCATAGTCTGAGTCTATGAAAACTTAAGGCTCACTGAGCATTAAATTTCCTGCAGCGCTTGACCCCTCACTGGTGGAGTGAGTAACTACATTTTCCTTGCACCTAATTCTTAAGCCTCTCCTGCATACTTCTTCTTCTTGCTGTTCTTCCTTAGCTAGTCTGCCATTTGGATCGGTGTTGGCGGATCATTCTGCTGCCTCATTTCCCGGGTAATTTCCTTAATTTTTACATCCATCTTCTTCTCCAGATCCCTGGCTGCTGCTCTGATAATGCTACTCTTAACTGCACCCTGATATACAGGTGGAAGAGGCAAATCAGAAACAAGAATCTATCGAGCAGGCCGGCCTGAGAGACTGAGAGAAAGAGAGAGGGGGGGCGTTCGGCTTGGGCATCCGGTCCTCCCCGAGCTCGAAGCAGAGGGAGAAGGATACTGTTAAGAAGGGGGTCATGGACCTCAAGGCCACGCAAGCTGCTCTTGAGAAGGTCTCCAATGTTCATTAACTTGCTGTAGCGCTTGACTTCCACCTAAGGTATGAAAGTGCTTGACTTCCCTAACACTTTCTTAAGCTCTGCTTGATGCAACGTAATGAAGTATTGCGACGATATAAAACTGCAGCTGGAGTGGTATACAAAAGACTGATGTAGACTTGCTAGCTCATTTTTGTGTCCACCACATCACAAGAATCCTATTAATTTGTGTCTCACCCACTGCATCCTGTCAGGTATGGTATCCATGATCCACACACGCGCATGCGCCATGCTAAGATAAGCCAGCGCATAATCACGGTCACACCGGTGGAGACTCTCCGATCGAGTTCCAGTGATGGCTGAGCTCGCCGGGGGAGCCGTCCGCTCGCTGCTTGGCGTCATCCACGACGAGGCTAAGTTACTGGGCGGCGTCCGTGGCGATGTGCAGTTCATCAAAGAGGAGATGGAGAGCATGAACAGCTTCCTCCTGCACCTCGCCAGGAAGACGCCCCGCAGCGGGGAGCACGACGAGCAGGTCCGCACGTGGATGAAGCAGGTCCGCGACCTCGCTCATGACTGCAGCAACTGCATCGATGTCTACCTACGGCGCGGCAATCCGGCAGTCTACCGTGCCAGAGGAATACTGCTGGGTTACGTGTGGTGGGTGCCTTGGTTCGTGAAGAAGACGCTCGCTCAGCACCTCGCAGCCACCCAGCTGCGCGACCTCAAAGCTCGGGCTCGTGATGTTGGGGAGCGGCGGCTCAGGTACGGCGTCGAGGTCCCGGCGAAGCTGGACTTCGACCAAAAGTTGATGGAGGCGTCGTCGTCATCAACATTGTTCCAAGCTACTAGGGCAGTTGTAGCCGAAGGAGACCATGACTTCGAAGAAGACTACTACCGGATGATAAGCGATGATCCACGAAGGGAGCAAGCCTTTTCCGAGCCTCGCATTTCTGACAAGTGCACTGAAAAGCTAGTACGCTGGCTTGAACAACAACAAGAGGATGGTCCATTCCAAGCCATTGCCATTGCAGCACCAGATGAAGAGGATGGAAACGAAATACCAAACGAAGCTTTATCTCATGTTGCCGTTAAGGAAAATTTTGACCACATCTTCTCTCTATATGACCGGTCTTGCCTGCAAGAACCCTGGGATTTTCTTGGTGATATCTTGGAGAACCTTGAAGAGGAATCCAACAAATCAGTGGAAGAATTTGGCGAGGAAGCTATCGACAAGAAGATTAGGAAAATCGAGGAGAAGATCGAAGAGTACCTGGAGAAAGCTGGTAATAAAGGTTACCCGGTTGAACCCTTAGCAGTACTCTGTGGCATCTTGGGGGTGCTGCTCCAGGATGCAACTGCCGGTGAGGATCAAAGTCAAACCCAGGAAAAGATCCTTGACGAGACAGTTGATAAAATGAAAAGGTATCTGGAATCAACGGGTGAATCGAGTTCCTGCAGGATTGGTGTTGAGCATCGCCAATACATAGCCATCCTACAGGAGCTGCTTCCCAAGCAGCACACCACACAGGCAAAAGTAGCCACAAATAAGCAAGCCGGCGAGGATCATATCGTGAAAAACATTAAAGACATCACGTTGAAGATTCATGTGCAGATCACACCGGAGCTGCTGCTGCCAGTGTCACTTCACCAGCTAGATAAATCAATGGGAGAATCAGGCCAAGACCAGCTGTTGGCAGGCGAGGAGGACTGCAGGGAGATGATTGAACATGTCCTAGAGAGGATCAAAGAGCACCTGTTAATTCAAGAAACCGTGGGGAGGGTTAGAGAGCATCTGCAGGGTACAAGGACACTGGTCGTTCTCCACAATGCCTCTGGCTACAAATGGGATGAGACTGCAAAGGCCTTGCGAGATTTGGGTTGCAGTTCAATGGCAGTGGTAGTTACCACAAAATACATGCAGAGGGCCAACGAGTTTTGCTATGGGACAGAACCCATCATATACTCTTCTATTGAATACTATCGCGAAACAGCACTCCAACTTACAAATCGGCATGTGAATGATGACGAGAAGTACAGTGCTGAAATCTACCATGAGATCTTGGAGAAATGCAGGGTGGATGAGTTCTGCATAAAGATGTTCATCCATGCTCTGTTTGCCAATCCAATGAGGAGCAGAGAAGAACTGGACAAATTGAGCAACAGCCTCGTGTTTGAAGGATCCGTGGAGACCAATGGCTACAAGATGATCAAGTTCTCGTACAATGATCTGCCTAGGGAATACAAGACCTGCTTGCTGTATCTAGCCATCTTCCATAAAGACGAGAAGATAAACCGGACAAGATTAATTGGGCGGTGGGTTGCGGAAGGACTGATAACTAGACAAGACTGGCCCAGTTCAGTCAGTCAGGCCGAGCATTGTTTTGAGGTACTTGCCGACCTATGGCTTCTCTGTCCTTGCGACGTTGGTACTGCAGGGAAGGTCAAGAGCATTACGTTGCATCCACTAGTGTACAACTTCATCACCAGGATGGCCAGGAAAGAACACATTCTGGACACACGCCTATCTTGGCACCTGGCTCGCCACTTCTCCGTTCTCAGCAACATCCGGCTCCGTCCCTCGGATAGCATCCTCAACTTCTTGAAGCAACCATCCCGAGCATCATCTCAGTTAAATCTCGTCAAGGTCCTGGATCTGGAAGGTTGTCCATCCCTTAGGGATAATCAACGATGGCTCAGGAATGTGTGCACCTCATTAATACTGCTCAAGTATCTGAGCCTAAGGAACACAGATGTCACTCAGCTGCCGAAGGAGATCAACATGCTCCAGCAGCTGGAGGTGTTGGACATCCGGCACACTCCTATGAGTGCCTGCGCCACAAAACTGCTCATGCTACTGAAGCTAAAGCGTCTGCTGGCTGGTCACACCGGCACTGGTGGTGGTGATGCTAGCACACTTTCCACTGTCCAGATGCCTCACAAGGTCAGAAAAATGATGGACCTGGAAGTGTTGTCCCATGTACAGGCTTCGAAACATCATGCTACAGAACTGAGAGAGATTGGCCAGCTATGGCAACTAAGGGTTCTTGGTGTGATCATTTATGATTGGAAAGCTCAACTTGAGAACTTACTCCAAGGGATTAGCGATCTGAATGAGTGCCTTCGGTCTTTGTCGCTCGAGATCAAGCCTCCGCCTGCCAGGCAGGCTGCTACTCCTGACGTACCTGCAGCCGATACTATCAGTGCACACTGTAAAAACACACCCAAGCTTCTTGAAAGCCTGAGTATCAGTGGAGTCACGATGTATGGGCATCTTCTCCCATTGTTTGCAAGAGGCTGCCACAAACTTGCTGAGGTAACTCTTCATAACACCTCGTTAGACCACAATGATATGGAATCCCTCGCAGATTTGCCCAACCTACGCGGCCTCAAGCTCCAGCATGTTAATTTACACACTGAGGGAAAGCTTATGATCCAGACTAATGGGTTCCAAAATCTCAAGTATCTTGTCATTGAGGGGGGCGGCATCACCGACATCAACTTTGAACTTGGAGAAGCTCCTAAGCTTGAAAGCATCACCTGGCTCATCGACGGGATAGTGTCTCTGTCGGGAATCAACAATCTTCCCAAGTTGAAGGAAATGGTGTTCAATGATGGTGTCAGGCTACCAGATCAGGTGATACAAGCCATAGAAGCACACCCAAACTTCATTGATACTAATGGAATATGGGAATTATGCTAATCAGGAGTGAATCTGTGGTTCCTTGATTTCAACCTTACATTGTGGTCAGCGAGGGTTGCCTCATCCATTCATTCAAGCTTTACTATGATTCTGCTTTGTGTGTGAACTTGATTATGCTTGTATATCTGTTTGTGTTAAAAAATGCGAGTTCATTTCTATACATCCAATAGGGGTGTCTTAATGTAATGATAATGTGTCATGACTCATGAGCGAGAGTGTATGCTTATTTGTCCTAAACTAGCACAGCGGCCCACGAAATGCATGAGCCACATCTTTGGTGTCAATTTTTGTACTTGCATATTTAACATTATATTAGGTAAAAAACAATTGTAATTTCATATTTGTTTTGTTGTTCGAGACTTTCTGTTGCCTTGTGTTCTTAATTTTCCTCTTTCTCCCTTCCATTGTTTAATTTGAAGTTTGATACCTGTCAGACGGATCCATCATATAAGATTCAATTCTACTAGCAGTGTCGGTTCATCCAGCCGCTGGATGCATATATGAGCATGTTTCCTGCTATATGAAAAATTACTACTCCAACTGCAGTTCTTCTCTTATCAACAAAGTTCATCATTCCCTCGACCCAGTACAGCGTTTCAGCATTCTCAAAACGCTTCTTTCAGTTATACTCCTAAAAAATTCTCCATTTTCTTCTTATCTGTTTGTGGTTAACCATAATTGCCCAAAGCAGTTATCCATGTGGAGTGCACAACTCTACTCCAGTATAGCAGGATTTTCTGGTCTGTTTTTTTTCCCATGGTAACAAACTGATCGACGGCGATTAGATCGGTTGCAACAACGGATGAAATGAACAACCAGCCAGGCCCAGGCTGGTACCCAAACCTTACTGAACCACCACACCCATATTTGAAGGCAGAGTGGTGTGTAAATTATTGCATTACAGCTACACATAACGCGCAAGTAATACACAAAGGACTGGACAATGCATTGCTAAATAATTTAATCCAGGTTTTAACAGCAATGGGATTGGTTCAAGTTCAGAACAACTGGATCGGGTTCAGTATTACAAATGGTTCATGTTGCATTGGATGATGGAGTTATTCAGCATTACGGATGTCAGAATAAGCAACGATTTATTCAGGGCATTAGATGATTGAATTATTCAGAACATCAGGTGATGGAATGGTTAATGTTGCAGCAGCCATCAGGTTCAGCAGTAGCGTCCAGTCCAGGTGTTTACATTAGATAGAGTCCCATGAACACAACATATATGTCCACTGAAGTTTTATTGGTATCACAACAGACAATTGTGGTTCAGAAAATTCATGTCTATCCAGCAACAGAAACATCAGTCAAGTGCTTCTTACCAAATAAGTAAATTTTAACCACCACCCTATGTTGCCTTTAAAGCAAGGTTAGGACTTTGCCGTTTCGGCAGTCCATGACATGTGTCGGCACGCCGTCGCTCGGGCAGGTCTCCAAGCGAAAACTTGAGCGATGGATGACGTCGACGAGTTCTGGAGGCTGAGGCGGTGGCATCAGGACGAAGCTTGGACCGGTGGGTACCAACCCTTCATCTATCTATCTATATCTATACCAATATAAAAAGATCCAAAGAGGCAGATCCAGCCATCGAACCAAGTTAATCCAACGACCTAAACTGCTCCAATGGCAAGCGTTAAACGTGTTTAACGTGCAATTAATAGCATGCCAAATATTACACTAATCATAGGATTAACACATAAATAATAGCATACCTAATATCCGCATGCAATTAATATATTGCCTAAATATTAACGTGCATTGCACGTGCGTATTTAGTAGTCATAAAGGGAGCTCGTGAAAATGGCGCAGAAACTCACGGTCGGAGACAAAGCCAAGCCAGCGCCTGCACACGACGGCTGCGCGGACGAGAGCGGTGGGGAAGCAGGATGTCGATGAGGAGGTCGTTGTTTTCCAGAATCCTGGACACGGCATCTGGTGTCAAAGCTGATGACGTCACCGCCTTCATTTTGATTTCTTTGGTGGCGGGTTTGGGTTGATATAGCAGGCAGAAACGAGACCCTGTTGGCTTCGTATATAAAAGAATTAAAACTACTAAGCTATCCCTGCTCCCATGTCAGTATAGCTAACACGTGTTGTACTACGCTTTGTACTACTAGATTTTTTAGGATGAACACAGTACAACGCTTTGTACTACTTTCTTTGGTTTTTAGGGGATGATTATTGTTGGTACTAAAACCGGCGGATCTTGGGTAGAGGATCCCGAACTATACATTTAGAATTGATGATGAACAAGAGACAAGGAACACAATATTTACCTAGGTTCAGGCTCTCTCAAAGAAGTAAAACCCTACATCCACTTTGATTGTATTGATGATGGAGTATCGAGTACATGATGATCTACCTTGAGATCGTATATTGTGTCTAAACCCTAAGGTAGGTAGTGATTCTGTCTCCATGGACTAAACCCAATGGTTTATATAGGAACCGGAGGTATCTAGGCATACACATGGTCGGTTGCCAACTAGGAATAAACATGCTGACGGGTGAAGTAGTCCTTGAAGTACATGTCAAATCTTTGAGAGAGACCGTCTTGATCACGTCTGGGTTCGGGGCTTTCGGAGTCTTTCCTTATGAGATGGGCGAACCATAAGCTAGCTCGGCCCATGGACTGTGGGCCAACTAGGTTGTTACCCCTTAGTCCAGGACACCATCAGTAGCCCCTGAACTTGTCTTCAAAGTCGGGGTCTTCCTCAGACTAATGTCTTCGGTTTGGAGTCTTTGGCTTGACGGGCAAGTTTGAAGGAAATATGTCCTAGAGGCAATAATAAAGTTATTATTTATTTCCTTATTTCATGATGAATGTTTATTATTCATGCTAGAATTGTATTAACCGGAAACATAATACATGTGTGAATACATAAACAAACAGAGTGTCACTAGTATGCCTCTACTTGACTAGCTCGTTAATCAAAAATGATTATGTTTCCTAACCATGGACAAAGAGTAGTTATTTGATTAACGGGATCACATCATTAGATGAATGATCTGATTGACATGACCCATTCCATTAGCTTAGCACCCGATCGTTTAGTATGTTGCTATTGCTTTCTTCATGACTTATACATGTTCCTATGACTATGAGATTATGCAACTCCCGTTTGCCGGAGGAACACTTTGTGTGCTACCAAACGTCACAATGTAACTGGGTGATTATAAAGGAGCTCTACAGGTGTCTCCAAAGGTAGATGTTGGGTGGGCGTATTTCGAGATTAGGATTTGTCACTCCGATTGTCGGAGAGGTATCTCTGGGCCCTCTCGGTAATGCACATCACATAAGCCTTGCAAGCATTGCAACTAATGAGTTAGTTACGAGATGATGTATTACAGAACGAGTAAAGAGACTTGCCGGTAACGAGATTGAACTAGGTATTGGATACCGACGATCGAATCTCGGGCAAGTAACATACCGATGACAAAGGGAACAACGTATGTTGTTATGCGGTCTGACCGATAAAGATCTTCGTAGAATATGTAGGAGCCAATATGGGCATCCAGGTCCCGTTATTGGTTATTGACCGGAGATGTGTCTCAGTCATGTCTGCATTATTCTCGAACCGTAGGGTCCGCACGCTTAACGTTGCGATGACAGTTATTATGAGTTTATGCATTTTGATGTACCGAAGTTAGTTCGGAGTCCCGGATGTGATCACGGACATGACGAGGAGTCTCGAAATGGTCGAGACATAAAGATTGATATATTGGAAGCCTATATTTGGACATCGGAAGTGTTCCGGGTGAAATCGGGATTTTACCGGAGTACCGGGAGGTTACCGGAACCCCCCGGGAACCATATGGGCCTTAGTGGGCTTTAGTGGAAAGGAGAAAGGGGCAGCCCAAGGTGGGCCGCGCGCCTCCCCCCTCCCCTAGTCCTATTAGGACTAGGAGAGGTGGCCGGCCCCCCCTCTCTCTTTCCCCCTTGGGGAATCCTATTCCAACTAGGATTGGGGGGGGGGAGTCCTACTCCCGGTAGGAGTAGGACTCCTCGTGCGCCCTCCTCCTGGCCGGCCGCCCCCTCCCCCTTGGCTCCTTTATATACGGAGGCAGGGGGCACCCTAGACACACAAGTTGATCATTGAGATCGTTCCTTAGCCGTGTGCGGTGCCCCCTGCCACCATATTCCACCTCGATTATATTGTAGCAGTGCTTACGCGAAGCCCTGTGACGGTAGTACATCAAGATCGTCACCACGCCGTCGTGCTGACGGAACTCCTCCCCGACGCTTTGCTGGATTGGAGCCCGGGGATCGTCATCGAGCTGTACGTGTGCTAAGAACTCGGAGGTGCCGGAGTAACGGTGCTTGGATCGGTCGGATCGGGAAGACGTACGACTACTTCCTCTATGTTGTGTCAACGCTTCCGCAGTCGGTCTGCGTGGGTACGTAGACAACACTCTCCCCTCTCGTTGCTGTGCATCACCATGATCTTGCGTGTGCGTAGGAATTTTTTTGAAATTACTACGTTCCCCAACAGTGGCATCCGAGCCAGGTTTTTATGGTTTGATGTTATATGCACGAGTAGAACACAAGTAAGTTGTGGGCGATATAAGTCATACTGCCTACCAGCATGTCATACTTTGGTTCGACGGTATTGTTGGACGAGACGACCCGGACCAACATTACGCGTACGCTTACGCGAGACCGGTTTCCCCGACGTGCTTTGCACATAGGTGGCTTGCGGGCGACTATCTCTCCAACTTTAGTTGAACCGAGTGTGGCTACGCCCGGTCCTTGCGAAGGTTAAAACGGAGTCTATTTGACAAACTATCGTTGTGGTTTTGATGCGTAGGTAAGATTGGTTCTTGCTTAAGCCCGTAGCAGCCACGTAAAACCTGCAACAACAAAGTAGAGGACGTCTAACTTGTTTTTGCAGGGCATGTTGTGATGTGATATGGTCAAGACATGATACTAAGTTTTATTGTATGAGATGATCATGTTTTGTAACCGAGTTATCGGCAACTGGCAGGAGCCATATGGT